CCTCCGCTTGGAATTATAGATGGCATCGACGACGTCCTTCACCATCGTACGAGCGCGGATGGTGTCATTGGGTATGCGGTCTCGGAGCGTTACCCCGCACATGGCCCTCTCCATGGCTCGCTGAGTGACTGCGAGTTTCTCCTCTTCAGAGACTGTGGTGCTCCACGTCTCCGCCCCGTAGGTCATCGCGGGAAGAACATGCGAGTTGAAGACGTGAGCTTTGACCCGGGGTCGACGTGCTTAGAAGTTAGTACATCTCGAAGTTTATTGAACGCGGTCCAGCCCGCTCTGCGGCGTCGGCTAATCTCGAGCGTGAGATCGTTATTCATGTTGACCGCTTTACCGAGATATACGTAAGAGGAGACTCGCTCGATCTACAGAAACATGTTCCTTATATAATAAGTCCGTTAATAATGGACTGTTCGAGAAGTTCCTGCCGCGTTTATCAACACACACTGCACGCTTCTTCTCTAAATCAGACCTTAGAACTGCTAGCACTTTATATATCAGTAAAACGCGCGCTCTTCTCGCTCTGCCCAAATTTACGCTTACTTTTGCTCTGAATCGCGTTTCTCCTGTTTTTTGAAGTCAGTGAATAAAACATGCTCAACAGGCTGTTATTACAAGTTTCTGTTCCCTCTCAAATTTGGTCGGAAAGGTGCCGCAGCAAGTCAGGATGTCAACTGAGCATTTGGTCCGAATCCACAAAAAATTGGTGTGCAGTTGTGATTCAAAATGTCTTTCTCGCGATGATGAAGCTTCGAAGAAGATTAGGGTGAAGGTCGGATATCGGAGACTGACAAAGATCAACTGAGGTTTGATCAAACCAAATCTGCATGGAACTGTTGAACAGGCCGCGTTCTAATTCGGTGCTGAGATGGGGTTCCTAAGCATGCAGTGGCTCAAAGAGCGTCCAAAGAGGTTGACGGGAGGATGGCGCCGACTCTTTTATCTACAGTTGTGCATCCCCATCCCGCACTCTGAAGGACGAATTAACACGTTGACGACATTGTGCAGCGCATGCGCATCACACCTTGAGCACCGTGTGGGACCGTGTGCAGCGCATGCGCTGCACACACAAAATATTTATTTTTTCGCGCATGCGCTACTTCTTTTCTAATTTTTTGCATCTATTCTATACATCATATAACTTACTTTCTTTTCTGATTTTTTGTAAGTATCTTTTAGAACACATCATAGCGTGACCATAAACGGAGTGATGGACCGAAAGGTTGAATATTCTTTACTTTAGCAAAGTTTTTCCAGATTCTACAAGTTCTTCAGTTCGATTCATTCCTCATTTTCTTTCTATTCTGTTGAAAATGAATATAAAAAAGAGCAGAAGAAGAAAGTATATAGGAAACTAAATCCATACGTATGGCAGGATATATGTTTCTAGTGAAGCAATCGCGTCAGAAATATTTTTGAGGTTCACTCTAGCAAAAACAGCGAAAACTTGCCTTTTCTTTGCCATCACACGTATCTTGATCAAATTTTTACAACTGTACCTTCTGATAGGTTTGACACATCGAATATCATTGAAAACATTTTGTCACATCCGAGTTTTGCGTATTTAAAGCTCAAAATTCACGGATTTGATGTGAGGCGGCGGCGCCTGCAAAATCGCCGTGGTCCCACGCGGCGCAAAAACCCAAAACGCGCGTTGTCGTCAACGTGTTAATGCCGAGAAAGCAACCCATTTCAAATTAAGTTAGAGATGGTGAGTGGTACACGAAAGAAGGAAAAACCATGAAAACGGCCCAGAACCCGAGAAATGGGACCCCTTCCTTGCCCGTTGATTTGCGCATTGATGCGACTCTCATCGCTGTGCCCTCTTCAACACTACGCTCTCTCTGCTATCTAATCACTCGCCACGTATAGACCTGCGGCGAGTGATTAGATAGTCGGTGGGCGTACCCGCCAACCGCGCCAAGAGTGAGCCATGCTAGATCGCCGAGGTCAAATCTTTCGCTGCCAATTGCGCGTCGGTCAGCACCCTCAGGAGGTCCGCCTGTCTCCCAACTAGGCCTTTCCCCCTTCTTCGACCTTCGTTCTTATCGTGAATTCGTCCTTTAAGCCGTGCAAAGTTGAACTAGCTTAGCTACAGAACTGTGCTGCGAACATCTTGCATAGCAGACTTCTTGCCTATAAACTACCACTTTTCAAACCACCTGGCTAGTATTTTCGATGAGATAAAACGTTGAAACCCAACATGATGATGAACCTTCGCCAAGTTCTTTCGCCCAGGATCTTCAGTGCGGTCCAACATCGGATCTAGACCCTCTCTTCTGAGCAGCGGGTTTGTATTAGTGTGCAACAGATTTTATTTTGATCGAAAATGTTTTGTTTGAATCAAACGTATGCGTATTTAAATTTGAGGGTCAAAATCGGTAGAACTTTCCGAAGCCAACATAGAAGCTAGGTGATCGCCTTTTTAACCTTATCTCTTTCAGGTATGGACCGATACTGTGTAGCTTTGTTGCTGCTGTCTTTATCCACCAGCGATGCCTACAAATTCCTTGTTTACTCTCCATTATTTGGCTACTCCCACACACATTTCATGGGAGCTATAGCGGATACCCTCACGGAAAGGCCGGACACGAGTAGTGAGTCAGGAATGAGCGAGTATAATTTGTTCGACGAAATGGCTAGCAGCAGCAGCGTTGCATTTCCTTTTGAACCTTCTGGGTGCCAGCTCAAGCTCCACGAACAAAAGGGATACGGTAGCCTTTACCCTTGGCTCAAGCGGACAGCCAATACGAAGGTTAGAAGTATCAGAGAACAAACGCATCAACGAGTCGGCGGGGGCTGCGGGCAACCTGCCGAAAGAAGTCGTTGTAATATTCGTTGCAATGAACGTTGCTGAACAAATGCTATTGTCCCATGTCATTTTTCTTTTTCGTTGTTCTGAAGATTCTAAATCAAGGAAATAGTTTCTGAATTTCTACAAGATTCTGAACGGGGAAAAGTTCCATACTGGGCAAAACGAATGTGCAAAATATAGGTTATGTTTATGCCGACGATTGACAGAGCGAAAGCATAGAACGGAATTAAGTTGGCAAGGAAATATAGTAAAACAACCATTAACACGGAGTGAGGCAGATAAGGCAGCATTAATCAATCAGAGCTCACATCAAATGTGGGACGATGCCGCAACCGCTTTAGGGGCCTTGACGCAGGTATGCTCGAAGAGATTGGAAAGAGTAGTTAGTTGAGCCATAAGTAATTGCCGATTGATAATTATTTAAAAGTTTCTACAACTTTCTTTTGAACACGGTGAGTTGATAAGGTCTTTTTTACCCCACTAGGGAAGGATGAAGGGTCGAAGTGGCCATATGAAATGAGACAAGTATCATGGTATGTGGTTTCGGACGCTGATCTCGAATCTTCTTCCCAAATCTGCCAAACGATTCGCTGAACGGAGTTACGGAGGTTTTTTGTTCCCTCACACAGTTTAACACAGTGAGAAATGAGGCCTCAGCAGCAGCGGCTTGTGAAGGAGGCAGTGAGTATCTCTCACGAGTGCTGGTGGATGGCCTAGCGGTTCAGGTGCAGTGAATTGTGATTTCGCGTGTCCAGTCGGGTTTGGCATCGCTGGGTGTTTTTGCCTTTTGCAAATTGTGGAACTTGCCATTCGGCGAAGTATAGAACATAGATTCCTTAATCAATTGTTAGCCCGTACGTGCTTTTTACCATCATTTTTCATGTGGGTTAGTTCAGAGGTCGAAACTTTCGGAAATTTTCCCAACTTGCATGACCATTTACAGAAGGTCAAGGCGGCGAGTATATACGAGCGCCGCCGCTATCAGCGTTTTGATGTGCGACGAATGGGGGATCTGTGTTTAAAGTAGTCCAATTAACTCCTGACCCTTGTAGGAAAAGTTGCAATTCGAGATTTTGCATTATCCTTCAAAAAAAGTGGGCGCCGCAGTCCAGCCATTGATGCGAATTTACTATCAACAGCGGTGAGTTCCAGGGTTGAACCTATTTTGGACGACGGCGACCCTTTAAATTTGGAAATAATAAAATGTGGGTGTTGGAATCATGCGAACAGAAAACCAGACACTGCTTTACGCTCTTCAGGAAACCAAAAAAACTGATATCGTCTCAAGGCTATTTAGGCTTCGATGATGGCTGATGGGATGAATGAATAGATACCACCCAGCTTATTTCGAAATTGGTCGAAATCTCAAATTTGGCTACAAACTTGTCCCTAGGGGTATTTCAATCTCCGGAACACGAATATCACACTTGTTTTATTTGCTTAGCAGAAAACGTTATCTGCCAAGCGTTTTTGTGGGACTCCATGTGCAAGTTACTTTATGTTAAGTACCGCCGAAACTGATTAGAAATTCATCGCAAAGTCTTTGCACGGGTAACTACAGGCAGGCATTGCTCGAGTAAGGTAGTTGGGAGCTTTTTTCCATCATTTTGCAGCGAAGACAAAAAAGAGAACCCGCCAGGGAATCGATCCTAAGACGTCTCGCACGTGAACCCGAACTACTACCGCTGCACTACTTCCCTTCACTCCATTTCGGAAAATCGTTTGGCAGATTTGGAAAGCAGATTCGAGATCAGCGTCCAAAAACGCATCCAACGGTGTAGGTCTCTTTACATATGGCCACTTCGACCAATCATCCGTTCCTGGTCAGTCGTATAACAAGCTGCCCCTATTTCGCGAGTAGAAGTTTCTACTCACAGATCTAAGCAATCTTTGGCGTGTCAAAAGTGGATGTGATGTCTATTTCTTGAGGTGTTCGCGATCTTTCTTAGCTTCTCTCGTTAAGGAAACGAGCAAGTAAGCGGAACAAATGGTGGTTTTGAGATGGGTACCGCGATGAAAATTGTGTGGTCCCTACCTACCTAGATCACTCCAGCGCAGAAGTTGCGCGTGGTTAGGGGCCTGCAACCCACCGAATACCCGGCGCAGGCTTCCCGCCACTCGATATCGGCGGCTCTCTCGAACGGTGTTGATCACTCGAACGTTTTAAGTGACCCGCGCTGTGCCCACCTTTTCTTTCGGGCCCATCGTTTCAATCTGACCTTTGAAGGTAAGGTTCTTTAATTCGCGTTTTCCAAGATGCTTTGTTTTGCTTTCCTGTCTTCAGCGTCGTCGGCAGGCTCAAGGCATCATACGAAATGCTTTTATCACCATTTGTTGAGGCCTTACCTTAATGGTTAAAAAGAGCTGGGGAAAATCTCTAGCCAAGCTCTGTACATACTAGTAATCTAGGACGCGGGGGGCAGTAAAGCTGCCATAGACTGAGATAAAGAGTGTGTTGAACTACGGCCTGTGACGCGCGCAATAATGAAAGGCGGGACAGCCAGTGACTCCGCTGGCTGATGGGCGAAGGCTTGGCTAGGCGATGCGCTAGCAAGTGAAGTCGGCGGTTCGTCAATGGCGCTGGGAACCATTTAATGGCACCCCGATAGAGCGCGACGTTGCCCACTGCACCACACAGCGAATCGTATAACTTCGTATAGCTTGGGAAAGGAGCGTTATAGATTACCAGTTTGGCTGCGCACGCATTCGCGTGCATGAGACGGGGCTCAGCGGTAAAATCGGGCCCATCAGTATTTTTGTCTTGATTTTAGCTTTCTGCTCGGTACATCTTACTTACGCCGCAAACTCCGCCCACATCCGGGTGTGCCACGCCCAGCGTTCACATTCAACCTCTACTCCTACTTTCACCTCTGGCGTATTTTTTTCAGGTCTCTAAGTCATCTCGGAGCCGAATTATGAGGTCTTGTAAATGGCGTTATGAGTCACGAATTTCTGAGGCAGACCCCGCCCACTTTGGTGCATGCTTAGCCCAACAATGGCATTCAACCCTACTCCATACCTCAATACTTATGCACATTTTCCCCGGTCGCCGGAACTTCTAGGAACCGAGTTATGAGAGCGGTGGCAAACTCCGCCCACATCCGGGTGTGCCACGCCCAGCGTTCACATTCAACCTCTACTCCTACTTTCACCTCTGGCGTATTTTTTTCAGGTCTCTAAGTCATCTCGGAGCAGAATTATGAGGTCTTGTAGGGGACGAAATCGAGCTACGTATCTTTGTGGCAAACCCCGCCCACTTTGGTGCGTGGGTCGCCCACTGATATCAGTCGGCTATCATCTCTTCCCCAACCTTTTTCTACTTTTCTCCCATCTCTGGAACTTATTGGAACCGAGTTATGAAGTACCGTGGCAAACCCCGCCCACTTTGGTGCATGCTCCGCCCGCCAACAACGGTTGACCCCTTTCCCTCTGCCAACCCTCATACGCTTTTTTCCCGGACTCCGGGACTCCTAGGAACCGAGTTATAAGCCTAATTGCAAACTCCGCCCACTTTGATGTAAGCCACGCCCATCCCTGACATTTAGCTTCCCCTCCCCTCCTGACCTCTATCCGTTGTTTTCCGGTCTCTAAGTCATCTCGGAGCCGATTTATGAGCTCTTGTAGAAAATGCTGTCCGCTTCACGACACGCTCCGCCCATTGTGGGCGGGCCTCCGTTCACATCATGCGTGGTGGAAATACCTTAGGCATTGCTCCCCTGCACTAATTTCGTTCCTGGTCTGTAGGCTTCCTCTTAACCGAGTTATGAATATTTTCACTGAGCACCCATTTTCTAGAGAACGCCCCGCCCACCGAGGGTGGGTCTCCTCAGTTCGATCTGGCTTACCAACCCACACCTATGCCCACTTTTGTCCCGGTCTCGAGGCTGTTTTGTGACTGAATTTGAAATCAACCGATGCACGCCACGCCCACTGTGGGCGGGGCTCCTGCTTGGTTTGATGGTGGTTTTTAGCTTGTAAGGGAGTATGGGGGGGGTATACCCTCCAAACTTAGGAGCGGTACCCTGTAGGTTGTTGTTCGACTTTGTAGAAGCCGAATTGGCGTGAGCATGACACACGGACAGAACAGCACGACAGACGAAGCGCTGTTAATTAGTTAGTAGGATGCGGGGTGCGAAAACACCTAATATAGTGGAATGGATCCGTCGAGGGGCGGCGCTGTCCGACTGTTCAAACAAGGGAGAAACACTGCGCCAATCCACGTTTTGGGAACGTGAGGATCATGAGCCAGCATGACTTGCGCAGGGTGAGCGTTCCAGGACAAAGGAAGACGAGCGATATCACGAATCATATAAGGTGGCCGCAGGAGACAGCTGAGTAACGCTATTGAATCAGATAAGGTTAATCAATATTATCGATAGCTCAGGTGGGCTTTCTACTCCTACACTCAACATCCGCACGAATCCCCCTTTTTCCCTGCTTTCGCATGGCAGGGACGGGGAGGAGCGCAAACGCAATGACGTGACGAGAAGGGAAGCTGCATGGGGAATGAAGGAGACGCAAGTAATGGGCCGGCGACTAAAATTGTACTTTCAGGGCACATTAGCGGCCATCTACGATGCTGTTGCTTCCGTGCTCTGCCTGCGACGGTGTTTCTTCTGTCTCGGCCATGGCTGCCGTTGCTGAGCAATAGTGCCACCTGTATAATTGGCCACTCAGGGATGTTCCTAGCACTCTCGCGCATTGCGGTTCGGGTCAGCGTGGGTTCTCGCTTTCCGATCTTTTCAGCGAGCGACGTCAACGCCGACCTTGTTGGCCAAACTATTAGACTGGCGTTAGGTACTGGAGTTTACTACGTCCTTGGCATTTCCTCCTTTTCATGCGGATTGCTGAGGCTGCTGTGTGCAGATGGACGATTTCAGTCTACGTGAGTTTACTGTTCCAATTACTGTATGGCTTGAGCTTAAACAGATACGACTCCTGTGATCGGTGGTCCTTCGTGCGGAGCGCTATTAAATCATTGACGAGATTGTCGCGCCTACAATCTGGTATATTTAGACTGTGTCGCAAAGTGAACATCATTCGCGGTACCGTTGGCGAAGGTGAGGGATTATATAGGAAGGTTCCGGCCTTTCCACTTCAGTTATAACTATTAGTTTCCTGGGCCTGAATTAGAGCGTGTACCAGTCTTTAGTTTGGGACCGCGCTCGCGAGGACGTTCGGATCCAGGTGGGAGCCATCCATGCTTTTCAGTCGAGATCGTATGCTTACACAATGAAACTGGGTGCCAGGTGTTGTCACCTTGAGAGTGCGTTCAAAAGTGTCTCAGGTTATGTCAGGACCTAATGGCCACAGCCATGGAAATAAAAATAGACGTAGATATTGCAAACGAAAGATTGAAAAGAACAGCCGAACACGGGATAGTGTTGAGGTGGGCCATTCCCAATCTCGGCTTAGACGAGGAGCAGTTAGAACCTGAAGCGAGGGGGATAGTAGCGCCATTCTACAAGACGGATGGGCAGAAGATTGCGAAGCTATCCGACCAAGAAATCCATTAGGTCATTCTGGTCAGTTTAATTCACCATGAACACGTTGCCCATTAGATATCAATGAAAAGGTGGTCAATCCCGCGAATATATGAAGAAGAAAAAACATGAGAAACGGCTCACCGAGAAATGGGACCCCATCTGCTCGTTGGTCTCAGCATTGATGCGAATCTTCATCACTAACGTATTCCCCTGCTAAATGGCAAGGACCAGACGACGAGAGGGTGGGCGTGTCGAGGCGCGGGAATGGCTGGGCCACTAGTGGCCTACCCTTCACTGTGAAACCCACATCTTCTCGCACCCTTCGAGTAGCCGTCTGGCTTTACGCTAGGTATATTTTCCCTTCCTTTAATATCTGACCTTATCGTGGAATAATCCTCCTTTGAAGAAAGAGCGCATTTCACACTCGCCTCGAGACCCTGATCGCACAGGTTCTCAATCGTTGCTAAACGGTTCTCTGAAATTAATTATGGAGCTGAAAAGAGCAGTAGTTATGGTCTGGGCTCACAGGATCGTGGGCTCGACCTCATCATAGGCTCTCTAACCCGTGAGGAAATGTATCGCTCATTTCCATTGGTTTTGTTGACCTAACGACCCTTCCTGGTAGGTTACCATCAAGACCCCACTGCCACGCACTTTCACGGGAAGTTGGCCTTACCTGGTGGTTGCGGAATCAGCCACATCCCTCAAGAAGATGTGCATATCTAAATTTTATATCAAAAAGTCATTCGAAATCGCTGAACAATCAGTTAAGATTTGATATCCGACGATGCTCTAATGAAACGATTGGCTGATGAGAAGTTCGACGTCGGCATCGCTGAAGCCTTCAGTATTTGTGGTTTGGGTAAGTATTGATTGGAACACGATCACCAGAGTTTGAATGAACATTAATGGGAAGAATTTTCAGGAATATTCGAGATTTTGAAGATCCCGTCATCAATCTCCACATTTTCTGGTGTACATTCGGACATCACATCGAACAGCATAGGAGAACCAATAACACCGAGCTATGTTCCTGGCGAGTTTGACAAGCAAAGAAGAACAATTTTTAGATATTTTTCACGTTTTGTTTTTCATTTGTCGCATATAATTAGGATGTCCTATAAGTTCGTGCGGTTTCGTTCGTTTGGGGAGAAAATATTACTATTATAAGCATATGTATGTGGAATCGATTTGCGCTATTGTAAGTGAAATAATCAAAACGAAGGCGACGTGTACGGTTTTGGAAAGCTCTATGGTGAAACTACATATTCACGTCTACACATGTCAATTTCCCATCGCAAACGTTCATGACACTCTGACGGAGCGAAAAGAAATTACTTATGGGCCAAGTAGTCATTTGGGCTCATTGTATGAAAAAGAAGACGGTGTTTTGCCCTGCTGTCTGATCACCGGTAATTGAGTTAAATAGCTCTAAATGAGTACTGGATTCGAGGAAGGACGAGCCACATTCATCTGTGACAGTGCTTTAAAGGACCAGTTGTATACGCAAAGGCAAAACGGGGAGGAGGACCGTGGCGAACTATGCTCAACAATAGGAGCTACATAGGATAAGGGGCGCGAGTAATCTTACAGGGTGCTCTTAAGGAGCCATGGCAACCAAAGGAGACCGTATGAACCTCATCGATCGCATGAAAAACGTGTTTGATACACTGATGGGACAACGATTCTTCAGCAGCATCTTCAATGAGGAAATTAAAGTTTTGCGTGCGAAATTCGGTCCGCAATTCAGAGATTATGCGGTACGGTGATGAAAGTCATTCAGAATAGCTTACTTCAGAAACACTGGGCGAGTTCAACGATACCGACCTTCCTCCTTGCCTTTCCTCTGAACTAATTTGTTGGATAACCTTAAAACTAATCAAACAGATTGCTATAAGCATTCCCAAATCTCCTGAAGAACTGAAAATACCAAACATCAAAAATCAATTGACAAAGGAGTGATTCTTAAGATTAAGTTAGCTTGATGGCCAATTTTCTGATCCTGATTGTTTCTTAACCTCTCTTGCGTCGCGCCACAATTCCTTAAGGGGGAGTTGACGGTGCTGAGGCGTCTGGTAAGAGTTACTGCACCGCTGGAGGTATCGATGGAGAGTTAATGCATGTGGAAGGGCGTGCGGAGGGTTAAGGCTTAGTTCTGAGGTAAGCACCAAATTGTGGCGGTTCTAAGGACCGAGTTGAAGTGGTCCGTCCACCGTCGGGGACTCCATCCCCTCCCCAACATTCAGCATACGGTCCCAGCCGAAGCGCCAAAAGGGCTGGTTTGCTTACGTCGTAGCCCAATGATCCCCCGTCTCAGATGCGCCGAAACGCGTAGACTTTGCCTACCCGCCCAGCCTGCATGACCGCTTCACTTGAAACGTCGTTTCTTTCACAAAAACATTTTCCCAAAGGCCTTTAAAATTAAACTAGAAGAAAATGCTAACTAGCTGGAATATTTTCCAGGAAATACTCGCAGATTCCTCCTATGTTTTCACGAATTCAAATCCATACCTCGACTATCCTCGTCCGATGCTCCACAAGACTGTTCCACTTGGAGGAATCACTGTTCATACTGATCCTAGAAAGAACGTTCTGACAAAGGTACCATAAATAACCCTCCTCTCTACTCCTTCTGTGGAATTCCTCTTTTATCAATGATTGAAGGAATGGGACCGCATACTTAGCGAGAGAAACACCACCGTGCTGGTATCATTCGGTACAGTGGCCAAATCGATCTACATGCCGGATGAGTACAAGTGAGTTTCAAAGATCAAATGATCTCGTCCACTCCTCAGTCAAGGAAGGGAGTCCTGGGTTCCGGGCAGGGTCAACCGCGCGTTGCGCAGTTTTCAACGAGGGGTCATATTTGAGTTTTTCGGAGGGGGGAAGCCGCATTTTGGATTGGTGAAGGTCGAAAGGTGGAAAGATGGGGGGTCGTATTCCTGGAAGTTAAATAAGTCGTGCTGATAGCCGAGGGGCGAAGTTCGACGGGTTTTGTTACGATTTTGGGGAAAACTTCATGAAAGAAATAGCAAGAAGTATGAAAATATAACAAGTAGAGGATCTTCCGTTCATAACATATTTACCAACCCCCACCCCCTCTCAACGGCCGTTTTGGAGGGGAAATTGCACGAAGATGATCTGTGTAGGTTGGCCGTAAAATAGCAACAGCCATGATGGTTGCGGATGAAGGGAGGAGTCGTATTGATAGGCTATCCTCAGGCTGATGGAGGTGATAGTGGGGGTCATATCGAGGCCCCCGAAAGGAGTGGGGTCGTAAAATTTCTGGAGTCTGCGCAATGTACGGCTCACCCTGGTTCCGGGTTTCAGCCGCTTCTCTTGACTTTTTTCTTTTAACAGGAGCACCATTTAGCAACTCTTCCTTTGCATGTCAATGGTATCCGCTTATTGCGAAAGCTGCCTTTAATTCTTAGCTGTTTATTATACTCTTTGAAACTAAGCTTGAAATCAAATAAATGGGAATTTTCAAGGAGAACTCTACTGGAAGTGTTCGAAAGTCTGCCTGAAACAACATTTATATTTAAGTACGAGGACGAAAGCTCACAAATGGCGGCGCACCTGAAAAACGTTCACCTCAGCTCTTGGGTGCCACAAAATGCACTTCTTGGTGAGTATGATCAGAAAAAAATGAAAATTTAGCAAAGTAGAAGACTAGAAAGATCCAGTAGGATCAACAAGTTCGCATCAATGAAAGAGATTAAACGAGATTGCCAGATAGCGACATCTTGCTCTAATCTTGAAAGCTGTTCTTCGTTCCTCGCTCCTAGTGTGCTATTACAGTTCAATGTTGACAATACGTTCACCTAATTTTCAGCTGATCCTCGCTTAACGGCTTTCATCACCCATGGAGGCCTAGGCAGCGTCATCGAGCTTGCTTATTTGGGGAAACCGGCAATATTCGTAAGTCATTAATAGCACCATCCACCAGTGGGAGCCTTCAAATTTCAGGATCTTAAAAGTGAGGAAATATCTGATGGGTATTTTATACTATTTCCATATTTTATTTCCATATTTTAGATTCCAATATTTGCCGATCAGACCAGAAATGCCCATATGCTCTCCAAACACGGTGGAGGTATTGTTTTGAATAAGGTCGCATTGGAGCATCCACAACTACTCAGAGAGTCTCTGAGAAGAATCTTCAATGATGCAAGGTATATTCAATCTTCAAAGGAACCGCTATTTAGCGAAAAGCGCCAGATTTATTGAACAAATGTCTATTTCAGCTTCTCCCGGAATGCCAAGCGTCTTTCGCAGATGCTCATAAATCAGCCCATCAGTGCTAAGGAACTTCTCATCAGACACAGCGAATTTGCTGCCAAGTAAGTTGATGGTTGCAGAGGTCCATTCGAAGATCTAGTGGAGAAGAGCGGCATGTAACCTCCATAATGAAGAAATACCTAGGTTATCGCATTGTTTAGGTTAAGCCATGCACTTGATAAAACCTTATGGAAACGCATTTCACCTAGACAATAACTTGTTGCTCAAGAATATCGTGACCCAATTGTTTCTTCCACCCCACCCCCCCCCCCAACCTCACTTTCCCTCTCTTAGTTTCTCTACTGCCTTTCCTCTCTTAGTTTTTTTTGTTCAGTTTAGTTTCCTTTAGGTTTAAACCCCAGGTCAGGGTAAGTTCTTCTACCGCTTGACAATGTGCTCGACCCTAACTAGCTTTTTTCATAAGCAATCGAAAAGCGATCATATTTTTCAGATTTGGACGCTTGCCAAATCTCGATCCGTATGGACGGCAGTTATCCATTTTCCAGTACTACCTCATTGATATATTTCTTGTTGTTATTGTTGCTGCCGTTTTTGGTGTTTTTGCGGTGTTTTATTGCTACCGTTTTTGCCTTTATTTGTGGTCGATCGAACATTATTTGACCATCGCTCTGCAAATTGCTGGCAGTCTCGCTCTTGTACTTATTTTTCTTGTTGTTAAGATTATCAATGGGTGCTTCTCGTACCTATTCAAAAATAAAAGAGATTAACTTGATCAACTGATCGTCATTAGAAATACAGGTGAAGTGTTTTTTGCGAGGATATTCCATTGTGCTCTCCGGGGAGAAAAAAGTAGCATTCATGACACGTAATAATGCACTTGAAATATACTTCTGAAAAGTCCGAAGTAGCGTGGAAGTATGCCTGCGGTGCTTTCACATTCTGCGCTGCACTGGCCAAGGAAACGGTCTCAACCCGTGGGAATGGGTATCTCCGCCTAAGCTGAAGGGTGGAGAAGCTCTGGGGAAGATGATTAGGTTCAAAATATCGGATAGGAACTAGGCAAGATTTATGCGGACGTGACAGTATCACTCACCAGCTGTCAGAAGAAACGCTGACAAGCGATCGGGATCGGTGACCGTCTGTTTTGTGATCCATTGTTCACGAAATAATCCAAGTTTTAGAGCATCAAGTTTTCAGTTCAGATATATGCGTAGAGGAATCGGGGGAAACTCTATTCTAGCGATAGCTTTTGGGCGCTATCGCAAGATACGGGGCATCCTTCTAGGACAAAGCTAAGGGAAGGGACAACGAATGATAAAAAATGCTCACGCGACCTGGAGTTCTCTCACCTCCAACTCAAAGTCTTATTGGTTAGGTCCGTTTTGACAAAAGGGAGATGTCTCAGGCAGTTTGAAATGCTTCGCCACCACAATGACCCCTTATATTGCGATAGCACCGCTTTTTGTTTTGATACGCTTCAATATTATTGTGAAGTTGGCTATTTCCGTTTCGAAATTCGGTCAAATTCATCATAGTCTTAATTGGAAAGAAAGAAAAAGGAACCGGACGTAAAACAAGTACGGTATAACCCACGACTTCTCAGGCCTCAGCGATGCCAAGTATGCCAGACGCATGAGTAGCGGCATAGAGGGGCGTGATGGTAAGAACATAATGTTACGCTGGACGAAGAGGAGAATTATAGATGAGAGACATAACTAAGAGCGAGCAGCGGACATAGCCTGATGGCGTCTCTGAGCGCGGACTACGGCTCTGACGTAGATCCAGTGCCAGGGATCCGTACCTGCAATTTTTTGTAACGGCGATGTTAGCGGTTTCCTCCAAAAGAATGATTTACCCCATACCATGGATGAACTCACTTATAGTTCCGTCGTGGCAGGTTCTTTTGGCTTGGGTAGGAGTAGCGGTAGCCTAACTGGATTTCCTCAAGCAAGTCTTTGCGAAGGTAGCGGTAAGCACTCTGAGGTTTCTCCAAGATCACTCCTTCTGTTCCATAATACTTTCCTACTCTGGAAGGCGGGATTACTTCATACAGACGGAATAGCACGCGTCTGAGAGAGCGCAAAAGGAAGTGGAAGAAGGTTTCGCTTGAGTCCAATCACCACACAAAGCTGCCGCGCGAATTAATCCGCGATTGCGCCTGTCGTCGCGCAGTGACCTAATGAGACCCTCCCCTTCCTTAAGAATTTGGTGATGCTTCATTAAAAGTATTAATCCTACCTGGTTCCAGTTTTTGAAAAGGTGCGTGTTCTGGTGAACAGCGTTAAGTCGATCCTAAACCCCCTTACCGCTGTTTGTGCTTTGTGCATAACTATTATAAACGGTGTGAGCAGCACTTTTAGCATTAGCGCGGTGATAAGAAATATCACTGCTTCACAGGCGGACACAGCTTAGGCAAAAAGCGCAAAAGATCTTTTTTGATTACAAGCCCTGACACTTACACACCACCCTCCACCGCCTAACCTATAGAATTGGTCTTTGACGTACAAATTGAGTTAGAAATGGTGTCTGAAGAACGACTAACGCACGTGAACAGCGCTAAACAGCGATAGGTCGAGTCCATCATGTGGTGGCGTTCTTTGTCTCGCGCTATTTCTGGTCCCTTACCAATGATCACCGAACCTTCCTTGATGAATTTTGAACACTTCTAAAAAATTCTGACCCCATTGGGCGGAGTGAACATTTTCTGTTGCTGCGACCTTCCGCCTAGAAAAGTCTGGGAGTATTTTTTGGCTGTCCATTACTTTGGGGGAGGGGGGTATAATCTATGCTTGACTAGGAAGGACTCAGACAATTCGGACCTCCGAACTCAACGAGTGCCGAACAGCGCAGTGGTCTCTTCAGCTTACCTAGATCACAAGAGAATTCCCTGTGAGCCTAGGGATACCTCTTACTTTGGAGTGCAACTGGCTTGCATTGGCCGTGACCAAGTCACTTCGCTTTTCGTCTACCTTCCGTCTATGATTTCACCTACCTTACAACTGTATAAGAGTAGGCTCAGTATCCTTTTTTATATCATATCAGCCGTTTTTGTGGACCATCATGGGTCTCATATCGGAACTTTAGGACCTGAGCACTTCTTCTCGCTGGTGAAGCCTGACTATCTACGTGCCCATTTTGAGTCAATGGCGTCGGTGCGGGTTCGCTTTGACTGGAGCAACCTGCTTGCCCCTACGGACCACGTTGAGAATCAACTTCAATCCAGTCATTCTACCTCAAGCAACTGTCCAGCTACATAAAAGTTTGTGGGCTACCGCGAACCTCGACCTCCTGCTTCTTTTCGTGACAAACGAGAGTCTGCTTAAAAATTCTCTAATTTGACGCTCCATTGCTTACAAATTACCTATCTTATGCCGTGCTTTTTCTCCCACTTATCATTAGGGAGACTTTCTTTGTAGATATTAACGCACTCTTTCCATCCGTGAAATTCAATACCAATCGAATGAAAAATGAAGGCCGAGATACCCGCGTGGCTTATCTTCTTCATATTCTCCATTAGCATGAGCATCACATGTGTTTACTTTCTAATCTGCCCTTGTGAGCTCAGTCCCGTGGTAAACTTTTTCAACCTCTCCTTTTTCAGGTATGAACCGGTTTGTTTTGCTGCTACTTTCTTTATACTCCAGTGATGCCTACAAATTCCTCGTCTACTCTCCTTTATTCGGCTATTCCCACACAAATTTCATGGGAGCTATAGCAGATATACTCACGGAAGCTGGACATGATGTGGTGAGTCAAGTTTGCCAGCAAAAAATGCAGCCCAGCTTTGACCGGCCCTCTCTATACCACAGAGTCCCCACCCCGTCGCAGTTTCCTATTCGCTCGTAGAAACGATAGGGTACGAATGAAACCTTTTCACCCGCTACCATAGGGCAGACCAGAGAATAAAGCATTGTTGCTGATCAAGTCTCATCATCAGTGCTCAAATAAGGAGTGAGGGCCTTTAGCAAGATCCAGCGTCCTATTGGTGAGATGACAGCGTTCAATAATGAGGGTGGTGTTCCGGAGCAGGGTCAACCGTCGTGTTTGCACCTTTTGATAATTCTGCAGCTCTATAGGACCTCCTTCCTCCTCACCTCGACCGTCACCATCGTCATCATGGCTCCCTCCCTATATTTGATTCTAAGAGCCATTGATACATGCCAACAGCCTGACTCGGCCCACTTTTCCTCCAACGGCCAGTGGGAGAGGTGGGTGGGTGTGGGGGTTGGGGGTAAAGTGGTATAATGAAACGACAACTCTTCCAATTGAGCTTTCACCGGCTTTCGTCAAAAAACCCATCTGAATGCAACCCTTCTTGACGACCTCCCTTCTTTAAAAATCGTTAACATTGCTCCACCCCAAAATGCGACCCCCCTTCTCGAAATCACAATGCGACTCCACTCGTTCAAATGGAGCGAACGGACGGTTGACCGCGTTCCGTTGACTAAAAAAGGCTAAAAGAATCCGCCATTTATGCCCTTAACAAAGCCATTCATCTCATCCTTAGAGAGGAAAGGAAGGTGTCCGGAAGAGTTTCCTGAACTTGCTGGCTCCAGAGCCCTACCAACTCGAGCGTAGTGTGGTGGTTCATTACCGCCTTGCTCAAAGCACAACTGAAATTGAGCTAAAAATCATTTTCGGAGAGCTCTTAATAGGACAGGTTCAGTTCTTTTGTTGCAGACTGTTCTCATGCCGATTATGGACGTTGAGCAAGCGGGCTAAGACTGGAGTAAAGCTGACAAAGAAAATCATCAAAACACCCATAGATCCACGTGTAGAGGAGATGATGAGATATAAGTCAATTATGCTCAGCCACATGTGGACAGTGCAGCCGAGCATTTACGGGCTCATACAGGTGAGAGCGGTACAACATTCCCTTTGAAAGAGAAATAAAATCCAGGACTGGAAATATTTTAATCGATTTTTCTGGATTAAAGTTGTTCCGAAGCCGTCATATACGCATTTCAGAGTGCAAAAAACATGACGGCTTCGTTCACCTACCTCTGCGAACGTAGGTAATGTTATCTAAAAAGCCTATCACAGTAGTTTCCTTTCACAGCAGACTAGCCCCGGCTTCCTGACCCTCACTTCTGTATAGCGTTGTTCTAGAAGCCCGCTTAACGAGCAGTCCGCCAGCAAAAATACGCTCGAGACCACTTCCCAGGATGCAACTATTATAAAATAAAACTGAGTTCAATTTTTGAGAACCCCGGAAGCCAATCCTGCCAAGGATGGAGCCTTGTAGGCAGCTTGCTTGGGTGTGATATGGAGAACAAAAATAAAGTGGGCGAAGTGGTCCGGCAGAGGAGGAAGAAGGGGAAGAAGCCCTCCAAAGTGTTCGCAATGAGTCTTTTTTTGCACGAGAAGTGGACTCTGAGCGAAGGTCTAAGAAGGTCTTTGGCTTGTATGTACGTCATCTTTTTTCCTTCATAGCGTCTGGTAGAGTCTATTGAATAAACAAAGAAATCAGTAAGAAGCACTGAGAGCTGAGATCAGAGAACGGCTCTGAAAATGAGAGATAATATGAACGAGCAAGACCCAGACATCAACGCTTTTTAGAGGCAATGTTCGGGATAGGATTGGTGTGTTATTGCATTTGAATGTAAACGAAAATGTGAAGTGTAACGCCAGTAATGAAGAATGGGAAAAAACCGTCGACAATGAGGCCCTCTTTCCAGTAGCAACCAAGTGAAGTAGCATCTATGTAATAGTGGGCGGGATCCCTCGGATCTTGCCTCCGAAGGTGAATGGTCGAGATACTGGGTTATACATATGCCCCTTCTGTTCTTACTACGCGCTTGTAATCCCGAAATCGGTCTTACCTCTGTAAGTCCAGGATCACAATTACCTTACGAGCGAGGGATTGCGTTAACTTGTGGAATGTGCCTTAAAAGGTTCCTTATCGAATCAGTCACCTACTGAATAAGTACTTAAGATCTGATATCCGACGATGCCCTAATTAGGCGATTGGCTGATGAGAAGTTCGACGTTGGCATCGCTGAAGCCTTCAGTATCTGTGGTCTCGGTAAGTACTGATCGGACCTCGCTCCCTTGAGTTGAGCAAACTTTGAGATGGAGAGGATTTCAGGAATATTCGAAGTGTTGAAGATCCCGTCATCAATCTCCACGTTTTCTGGTGTTCATTTGGATATCATATCGAACAGCATTGGAGAACCAATAACACCGAGCTATGTTCCTGGTAAGCGTCATTGTTGAGAGACCAGTTAAAATAATTTTTAAATCGCCTTAAATAGCCTTTGCCTGCTCTGCTTGCCTATTTTGCCTGTTCTCGAATGTGTATATTTATATAGCATAGTAGAAGACCGGTGAAACTATCCTTAAGGAGCAATGTCTACGAAAGGTGACCGCATGAACTTCATTGATCGGCTGAAAAATCTTGTGGACACGGTAATGGGACAGCGGTTTTTCAGCGGCACCTTTGTCGAAGAGATCAAAGCTTTTCGGTCGAAATTTGGTCCACAGTTCAAAGGCTATGAGGTAAGTGGGGAGATTCTTCAAGCATCTTCTTATTCGTACCTCTGCTACGTTATCAGTATCCACATTTTGTTACCCTGTTGAAACAACAACCCCAGATGGGTCGGTATTTTCGCTACTAATGGAGTAAAAAAAGCGTAAGCCCTAGTCGAGAACAAATGAAGTGTCGCTGAAGCAAAAACTGGCCTGGAAGCCGCTATGAGGAGCTGGATAGTTGCGATTCTGAGTCGTTCGCCTGTTGGTCGATATGCTAGCCGTAGAAATCGCGCGATTGGCTCCTACGCCTTCTGCATCCATTCAGAATCGTAGGGCATCATGTGTGCCATTTGGCCTATAGAATGACTTGCGAGTTGAGCCAAGAAAAATAATAACAATGGGCGGGACCGGAAGTTTTTGTGTAGAAATGCATGGTAGGTACGGAACCACGTTTCGAACCTACCATGCATTTCGTCACAAAACACAAACGCACGAACGTGAACAGGATTCACTTCAAACCTTCCCATGAACGTGGATCCGTACCTACCATGCATTTCGTCGCAAAACCACTTCCGGTCCCGCCCACTGGTCCATGGTCCGTGGAAGATTCCTTTAGTCTCCCCTAGTTACTCTACCTGGTACGCATGAGGTGGTTGGCCGTAACGGGGTGCAAGTAAAAACTTGATCTACGGACACTAAACACTACTTGCCAGTGTACCGGTTCCGCCTAAATTTCGATGTTAATAAAAAGATTGGGGCAACAAAAGCACTGACGGCGTTCCAGGAAATACTCGCGGATGCCTCGTATGTGTTCACTAACTCGAACCCGTACCTCGACTATCCTCGTCCGATGCTCCACAAAACAGTTCCACTAGGCGGAGTTGCTGTCCATATCGATCCCAAAAAGAATGTTTTGTCAAAGGTATCAGTTACCGCTCAATTTGGTCCTTTCTGTAGAAGATATTTTCAATAATTCCTCAATATTGAAGGAATGGAATAGCGTACTTGAGCGAGAGAAACACCACCGTACTGGTCTCATTCGGTTCAGTGGCCAAGTCCATCTACATGCCAGATGAATACAGGTGAGCCCTACAGAAGGAAAAAGGCTATAGTTGTCACGTGGCCACCTCGAATTTTCCCCTGAAATGAGACAATTTCAAGATTTAAGGAAAACGTTACTGGAAGTTTTTGAAAGCATGCCTGATACCACCTTCATATGGAAGTACGAAGCTGAAGGTTCACAAATAGCAGCCCATCTTGAGAATGTTCATCTCAGCACTTGGGTGCCTCAGAACGCACTCCTTGGTAAGCAAAATTGAGCTGTAAACAGAAGAATGAAAATGAAAAGAATGACGAATGCCTTGAAAGCTTTCCTCCCTTCGTTTAAGCGTTTCGCGTTTGTTGCGTTCTCTGGTGACCTCTTTCTTGCACTTCTGTGAAATATTGTTATTTTTCTCTTCTATTGACCCCCCGGCTCCCCGCGAAAGGGGTCAATTACAAGCGCCGAAGCCTATTTACCCACTGAGATATTACAGCATCCCTTACAACGCCAGCTGTCTTTAATTCCGAATTCGGTCTATCTAATGAATATGGAGCCGGCCCTAGCAACGACTTATTCTTTTTAGCCTCTCCCCCCCCAAAAAGAGAACTATAAAATTAACAATTATTTTTGTTATTATTGATTATTCAAATGAGTTGAACCAGAATGGGTCCATCACTGATCAATATTTGATATGATAAATTATGATAGCTGATGATACATTGTGATATTCTCTCGAGTTATCTATGAAATTCGTTATAATGCGCTGAAAATACACAGTAGGATACCTACGAACTTGAATACATTCCAGTTATTGCTATTTGATAGGGGACATATCGGTTTGCGTTAAACTCTCGGCTGTACTTCACGAGCTCTTACATTACATTTATCACATGAAGCCATAGGACACCAACCAGGACAAAAATGTCCCTTCTGCCTCCGAACCGGAACACTGTAAACCATGTCAATCACAACTGCATCAAAGCCCAGTTGATAGGAAATAACGTTCGATGGAGTGAAATTCTGAATATGAAATAGAGTCCTGCAATTCCGTACAATGTATTTTGTCCACCATAACGAATGTACCGGCGGCGCTTTAAGGTGCATTGTTGCTTGAGCAGACGGAAAGCCATATGCTGCAAAAACCACGGGCAGGACACGTACTGAATCAAGCTCAACTTGGAACATCCCACAACCTCTTAGAACTCTCTGAAAGAATCTTCAACAGAATCAAGGTATAGATTTGAAAATTCCTGAGGGTGTAGATTTGAGAATTCCCCCAAGGGGAGACGATCTATTCAGTTTGATCTGCATTGCGTTTCTGAACAAAGTCTGTTTCAGCTTTTCCCACAATGCTAAGCGGCTTTCTGAGATGCTCAATGAATCAGCCAATCAGCGCCAGGCAACTTCTCATCAGGCACAGTGAATTTGCCGCAAAGTGGACTGGGTAATGGCAGAATAATGCAGATCTCCAGGTTTAAAGGGGAAAACGTAATCCCTTGAGAAGAACTGTAAAACCAACTCCTCTGGGATACTACGCTCTCGACAAAGCATTTCGAGATGCATCTCATCTGGATAGTTATTTTTGTGACCTAAAGGCAGTGACCACGATGACAAGAGGGCGGTGCTGTTTGACGTCATTTAGCGTCACGAGTGAACTGGACCGTTCAACCCGCTGCGGGTTGTGGTTGTGACAGTTTCCTAACGCTCTTTCACCAATTGCGTTCAGTGACGTCATCACAACCGCACCGCCCTCCAGCCATCGTTGTCACTGTTTTTGATTATTTATCTCCCTTTAATTTGTCTGTTTACCACCCTGTTGAGCACGAAACCACCCCTGTAGAGCGGATGACTCGGACCATGTTTAGGCCCTATCAAAAGCTTGTATAAAGGTTGACATGCCTTAATGACTCAGCTGACTGCGCTACTGTTGCTCAGATGCAAATATGTTCTCGAAAGAATACAACTGCTTTTTCCAGGTTTGGACGACTGCCAAATCTCGATCCCTATGGACGACATTTGTCGATGATCGAGTATTTCTTAATCGATATTTTCCTTGTTGCTGCCAGCACCATTCTTGTGATTGGATTTGTTGTTGTTAGGATTGTTAGGAGATGTTTTGCTGGTAAAACTAAAAGTAAAAAGGAATAGCTTAATCATTTGATCATGGGTATGATTAGTCTCGAATCAGGGCATTAATAAAGATTTCTATTATGGACCTGCTTAATATTCTATAGCTTCCGATCACAGATCATTCACCTGAGAAGAAACATATCTATCTTATTGGTTTGTAGTCGTGGAGCTTGGGATATCCTGAGAAGGAGAGAGGGAAAAATTGTTGGTGATGGGTTTTCTTTTGGTCGAACGTTTGGGAAGGAATCGCGGAAATTCGAACTAATTAGAGCATTCGCCATTTCTCCAGACATACTCACCCACCCCCTCCCCCACTCGCGACGGCCGTTTTGCGGTAAAAATGTGGGAGAGGTTGAAGTAAGTCGACTTTCAGATTCAGATATTATTATAGAAAGAGCGACCATGGTAAGGTGATGATGGCCAGGCAGTAGTTAGCGAGGACTCGTATGGGTGCCTTCCCTAAGCCTAGTGGTGGTGGTGGTCGTGTCGAGGTCCTCTCAACAGAGGAGCGGTGAAAATTACACCAATTCGGAGGAGGAGTATACGATTAGAAGGCATCCATTATAGACCAAGATCGACTCTCCATTAATCTCGGCATAGTATTAGTATTCAAGTTTGTGCCTCCTACAGCTCCGTCGTCGTTTAAGGCTCCGAAGAAGGCGATTCAGCCGAAACGTCAGTCAAAATAAAAGTCTGTAAATCTAGGAGGCTGCATAAGACAACAAACTTGCATCCATAATAGTTTAGTTAGTGCTTATCAGTAATGCCAGGATGAAGAAAAGACGCGTACCTGACAGGAGATCCGTCGCGCGACAAGAAGCAGAGTCGACGAGTCGCAGCGCGTGCTGTGCGATGTAGGACGTACAATGGTACATTCTATTTAACTTGACGCGAAATCACTACAGTACGCGCTGCGACTCGTCCGCTGACTTTGCCTCTTGCCGCGCGGCGGGCCTCCTGTCGGGTATCCAGAAAAGACTATGAAACGGCTCAGGACCCGAGAAATGGCAAACTTACTTGCCCGCTGATTTCCGCACTGATGCAACTGTCGTTGACGCTGCCCACTCAACGCTAGCGCTTTCTCTCTGGTAAACGACTAGAGACTCCGGCAATAGGATTGCCAGTCGGTGGGCGTGCCGCGTCGATAGCGGCGCGGGATGGCCATGCTAGATCGCTGGGGCATATCCTTCGCTGCGAATTGCGTGTCGGTCCGCACCCTTAGGGGTTCTGCCTGTCTTCCCTCAGGTGAGTTTCCCCTTCTTCCACATTCGAACTCATCGTGGAAATTTCCTTTGTCGGACCTTAACAGTACCTCCAATGCTCCGTGGAAGAAGCATTCATGCCACAAGGCAAACAATTTGACCTACTTGGTGTGTACGATGGGTACAGCCGACAATTCCGGACTTTTAAATGCTCCAACAACGTGTCTTATACGAAAAACCTGTCCTTGCGGACCTCTATGTTCACCTTCTTCTCCTACGATAATTTCCGACGTAATCGATTAAGAAACGTTCTTGGTCAAAAGTTCAGCACCAGTACAAAGTACCAAAACAAGAAAATGTACTCGCGGTTCGGCTGCTTATCACTGAAACTTTCAATCATTCTTCCAAAGGAACTCTCCGTCTCGCTTTCGGCCGACCATACCCTTAACTTGATGTGATCTGTGTGGTTTTTTCAGGCATACAAAATTCACCAACATTCTGATATGAACCAGATTACTCACTCGGTTGCATATTCTACCTCGATAGGCTAGTCATCTCAAAAACTGAGGCCTCCTGTGATTTCAATAGTCCCTCTGCTGCAATGTGGATAGTCATTGATCCCACAATCACTCGGTCGGTAGTTTGTGAGAATCGTCCATGATCGACTTTCTTTCAATCTCGGTATAATTTGGCTCAAAGAATATTTGGCACTATTGCAATATAAGGGGGCATTATAGTGGCAGTGCATTTGAATTAGCTCGAAACGTGTCTATTTTTTTTGTTGGAAACGGGACTATGCCCTAGGGTGGGCAGGAGAAATTCCAGGATGCGTTAGCCATGTTCGTTCCCCCAAGGCTAATGCCCCTCCTACATAGACCTAATCCTGGAAGGTGCCACCGTATATTGCGACAGCTCCGAATACGTGGTTGTAGCTGTCCAAGATGGGATAACGTTACTGCTGACGTTTCGGCTCCTTCGCCCCCACCGAGCCGTCAAAAACGTCTAAAGCTAAAGCGAATTTTGTGAGAATAGAACAAATATTGAGGTACCCTTTATCGGGGTGGGGGGGGGAGGATGGAGAGTTGGGTTGAATTTCGCTACGCATCCGATTTTTATAACGATTTGGTTGAATGGTTAAATGTCTGTACGTCTTTTTTAATATGGAGGGATGCCAGCTATCATCAATGGCTCTTGACAAGCTCAACCCGAATGAGGACCGAGGCGAATCGTTCTCCCCCAGGTGCCTGAATGTTTCATGTCGCCGAGTAGAGGGCAGGACTTTTCATCGTGGAGTATTTAACACTTGCATTGAACACGTCCAACTCTTTCATCTCAAACGTTCGTTACCGTTTGTCAATAAGCTGAACAGTCGCCGGAAGTTTGGTTACTGGTTTTTCTACAGCACTCAACACAATGCTCTGGTAGACCAGTTTTCTCACATAATCAAATTATCTTGTCTTTTGCGCTCCTCACTTCATCAAAAATTACGCGATGCTACTCTGAAAAATAGTGGTTATTATTTAATTACTCTATAATTTTAAGAAGTTCACT